CTTTTGCCCCGATCCAACATTTGCACTGACTCCTAACCAAAGCAATTCTAGTGATATGATGGCCAAGGGTATCTATTCTTTGTTGACACACGGAAGACAGATATTTATTGCCTTTCTAGTTTGGGAGCCCTTGTGGTACACTGGGTAAAGTGCCTGGCTGCTAACTGAAAGGTTGGTGGTTCAAACCCAGAACTCATCAGCTACTCTGAGGGAGAAAGATGTTTCAATCTGATTCTGAAAAGATTTATAGCCTCAGAAACCCTATGGGGCAGTTCTACCCTGTCCTGTAGGGTCACTATGATTTGGAGTCAACTTAACAGCAATTAGTTGGGAGAAAAGAGTTTAAAGTTAGATCTAAGTAAACAGTGGTTATGTAATTTCAGAAGTCTGGAACAAAAGGAAACTCTTTATAAGTCTGAATTTGTGACAGTACTTTAAAAAAAAAAAAAGCTTTTTTTTTCATTTTTAAATCATTTTCTTATGAAAATGTTTAGACATTCACTAAAGTTGTAAGAATTTTACAATGAACATCAGTATAGTCACTGCCCAGGTCTAACATAATATTTTCTTTATATGTACTTTATAACTTACCTACTTATCTATCTATTATTCATTCACCTCTTTGCATTTATCAATTTTATTTTTTTGCTGCATTTCAAAGTAAACTGCAGATACCAATTAACTTTTTCTAAATACTACTGCATTCATATTTTTAAAGTTTAGTATTCTGTTTCTTTGCTGTGAAATTTACATTGAATGAAATAAATGAAATGCACAGATTTTTGGTGCAGTGCCTAAGGCAACTGACTGCCAACCAGAAGGTTTGTGGTTCAAACCCACCAGGCCACTCTGTGGAAGGAAGACTGGGTGTTCTGGTTACCTAGTGCCACTCTGTTAAGTATATATACCACAAATGGGATGGCCTTAACAAACAGGAGTTTATTCTCTTACAGTTTGGGTGGCTAGAAGTCTGAGTTCAAAGTGCCAGGCTCTAAGGACTATGTAAAATCTGACAAGAATATATACCACAAATGGGATGGCGTTAACAAACAGGAGTTTATTCTCTTACAGTTTGGGAGGCTAGAAGTCCAAGGTCAAAGGGCTGTGTAAAAGCCCCTCAACCTTGGGCTTCAGCTCTGCCTCTTGCTCCTGGCCCACTGAAGCTAGAGGCATCTCTTCACTCAGGTAGCTACTGGCTGCTGAGGGTGACAAACTCAAGGTCGACAAATAAAATGGCACAGTCCTGATCTTACGAAACCACACAGCAGGTCATTAATTCAAGTCCATTATAAGTCCCAAGGTTGGCAGAGCATGGCAGGCTGCTGAACAATGACATGGCTACATGCAGGGTCCAAGTGTGCCATAAAGTGGAGACCATTCCCAAAGCTGTTTCTTATATACAGGAAGCAGACCACATACTCAAAGCAGCTACTCAGCTGCTCCAATAAATTCTACCATGGAATTAATTACTAATCTCACCATGGGAAATAACTACATTCAGCTGCCCAGCCACTCAACCAGACCCAGACAAGTAGACAATCTACTTCCATAAAGATTTACCACCTCAGAAACCCAATGGGAGTTGCTATGAGTCAGAATCAACTCGATGGCAGTGGGTTTTGGTTTGTTGTTTTGACAAATGCATGCACCCATGTAACCAAACCTCCTGTGAAGATAGAGAACATTTTCATCATGCCAGAAAGTTCCCTTATGCCCTCTTCCCAGTAAGTTTCAAAGACGTGAAGATAAAGTGCTTCAAGGAAGAAGTTACTCACTGGGTTTAAGGCTGTAAAGAAAACAGGTAAAATGAAGGCAGAAAAATGTCTGCTGGGTTTAGTAACAAAAAGACTATTTGTGATTTTGGGGTGAGCAGTTTCAGAAGCACAGTGGTATTAGAACCAGACTGGAGTAGGTTACAATGCACAAGGAACTGAAAACAGTAAACACAGAACACAGATGACACTAAAAATTTGGTTGTAAAGGAGAGGAGAGATAGAAAGAGGCCTTAGCAATGTTTGAAAGCTGACAGGGATCCAACAAAGTGGGAGAAGAGAAACGATAATTGCTGAAAAGGGGTTCCTAAGGAAATGAAAATACAGTGTGTAGTTAAAAGTGTAGGCTCTCGAATTAAAACATTATGATTCATCAACACTAAACACTAGGCTACAGATAAACACAAATATCTGAGAGGATCAGATGGGCGACAGTGAATAGGATTATACTTTAGACCAAGGGTAGATTCAGCTGAGGCTAATCTTGCACAGATACCAGTGATACAAAATACCTGCAAACCTTACAGAAACAACAGAAGACAGACGTAGAGCAATCCCTCAGACAGCCAGACACTGTGGGAGAAGATCCAATGGATCTAACAACTCAGGACCACAGTACTGGGGGACTCAATAGGCATAACAAAATACATCAAAAACCTTGTTCTACAACCTACACTGGGGAGTACCACCTGGGGTTTTAAAAGCTTTCGAGAGGCCAACTAAAATGCATCTAATGGTCTCCTATAGTTGGAAGCGAAGAAGAGTGGGAAACACCAAAGGCATTTGGAAGCAATCAGCCCTAGGACATGATGGTCCTCGAGACCAGAAGAACTAGATTGTGCCTGGTTACCAATGCTAACCACTCAGGAAAGGATCAAAACTGGAGATCCTGGATAGAGTGGCAGGAAAAACATGGAGCAAAATCCAAAAACACAATAATGACCAGAATTACTGGTCAGATGGAGTCGGTGGGACCCCCAATACCATGGCCCTGGGATACACTTCAGCCTGGAATGGAACTCACTCCCAGGGGCTGACTCTCAGCCCAACAGTAAATAAGACATGCATGCAGACCACTCAACCCACATACTCTATGGAGATGCATCCCTTGGAACAATTGACCATGGGGCACCAGAGGGGCAACATTCACATGGGGTGTGGGGGTGGGGTTACTGGGCAGGGAGGGGAGGACACTGGGTTAGGGTTGGGGATGGGAGTTGGGAAGTAAAACCAAATGTACATGAATTGTTGAATGTAAAACAAACTCTGCTGTGTAAATTTGCACCTAAAACACAACAAAAAATAAAATAAAAATTCCTCCACATACATACACACAAAAATCTTGATTCAAATCCAGGGTTTGTTATTTATTAGTTGGTTATTTTGCAAAAGTTACTTAATGTCTCTAAGCATCAATTTCCTCCCCTGTAAAACAGGAATATTCCTACTATCTAATTCATAGGTGTACTGTGAGGATTAAACAAGGCGATGCAGGGAAGAACTGCCTGCACAGTGCTCAGAAAACACTTCCTTGATTCAAGAATAACAGTTTTGTGACAGAGAATAAAGAAGCAAATGACAAGAATGAATGGCAGCTTAAGTTTGCAGATGGGAGGGAGGACAACAGAGATTTCCTGAAGATGATTTCTATTGCTTTGTAAAGTATGAGGCAAGGCTGTCTTGTAGTAGTGAGGCAGAGGTGGTAAGACAGCAGACTGAGGAACGAGGAGAGCCACACTGGGGAAGACCACTGAAACATCATAGGACTTCTGGGCAGCAGTGCAGGCCTGGTCCATCGCTGAGGACCCCAAATTTCACACAGCTGCATGCCTGCTCCAGCAGTGCTTAGCAAACCAGATACAGGGGTAGAGAAAATACAACGGCGAACTGTCTCAAAATTAGGTTTTGATGGCAGGTGTGATGAAAGGGTAAGAGGTTAGAAGGGATTTTAGATGTTGACAAGAGTGGCTGAAGTGAAAGAACATGGATTTTAAGCTGTACAGGGAGAAAAAAAAGACAAAAAGATGACATTTTCCGCAAAATAAAGAGATCAAAGAACTAGACTTCTTGATGAAGTCAATGTACAGGATTAGATACTGGGAATAAAATTGTAAGAAAATGTTTTGGTTACCTGGTGCTGCTCTGACAGGAATATACCACAAACGGGATGCTTTAACAAACAGGAGTTTATTCTCTAACAGTTTGGAGGCTTTAAGTCCGAGTTCAAAATGCCAGGCTCTAAGGGCTGGGTGAAAGCACCTCAACCTTGGGCTTCCGCTCTGCCTCTTGCTCCTGGCCCACTGAAGCTAGAGGCATCTCTTCATTTAGGCAGCTACTGGCTGCTGAGGCTAACAAGCCCAAGATTGACAAATAAAATGGTACAGTCCTGATGTTACCAAACCACATGGCAGGCCATTATTTCAAGTCCATTGAAAGTCCCAAAGTCAGCACAGCATGGCAGGCTGCTGAACAATGACACAGCTACATGCAGGGTTCAAGCATGCCATAAGCTAGAGACCACTCCCAAAGTTGCTTCTTATATATGGGAAACGTCCCTAAGGCAGCTACTCAGCTGCTCACATTAGATTCCACCATGGAGTTGATTACCAGTCTCATCGTGGGGAATACTACATCCAGCTGCCGAGCCACTCAATCAGGCCCAGCCAAGTTGACACACAAACTTAACTACTACAGAAAGATAGCTACATTCTAGCCCTTACAGATTTTGCAGGCTAATATATAAGGCATAACATTAAATTAGACATCACAATTAAAAAAAATTGCTATGACAGAAGAATGTAGAATCTGAAGGGATATACCATAGGAACATTTACTAGGTATAGGACTGGTCAGGGCAAGCTTTCTATAGAAAATAATTGTTGAGCTGAGATCTGTTAAGTAGGAGTTAGCAATGAGGAGAGGAGAGGAGAGATAATGAATTTCACAAGAATAGCATGAGCTGTTGGGGTAAGATGAACCAAGAGCATGAAAAGGCAAAAACTGGGAGCCTACTGGCTTATGAGGGTTGTCCACAAAGATGCTGGAGAAACATAGGACCAAAACACTAGGATTGGATCACTTTGGGGAGAGGAAAAAAAAAAAAAGCAAACAAAGAAAACAGCAGTCACAATGATGACAGCAACAATTAAGATGTTAAACTATATCCTAATATTCTGGGCATGAGGTACACTTCAATTTTAGACAAGCCAAAAGAGAAAAATAGCATACCTTTGAACGAAATGTTGGATGAACAAAATATACAGCCTTCAAATTCCTTTTGTACCTGAATAAAAAAAAAAAACAGATAAATAAAAAGGGTCAGTGTAAGTCACAGCTAAAACTAGTCACCACTATGTACCTACCATTAACTTTTTGCTTGAGTATGTAAATGCAGTCACATAGGAAATTTCTAAATTTATTTTTAAACAGCTCTAGTTTATATATTGAATTTTAGGTGAAATTTCAAAAAACAACTCAGAGAACATTTCATTCTGTTTTATAAGAGACATTAAGTTTTTGGGTCAACTATAATGGAGCCACCTATAGGTGGACAAAATTAAGTTCACATTTAACAAACACTGTGTGCCATTTTTCATGTAGTGCTGGAATCTATAGGATCAGATAAATGAATTAAGATAGTAAAATAATTGAAATTATAGTGAAAATCAGAATTAAGGCTTCAATGTTCACAAGAAAAAACAAGCACTTAGAATAGTACTAAGGCTATATACTTAATTCTCATAACAACTATTATTGCCCTTATTTTTATCTGCCCAAAGTCACCCAGCTGGCAAATGGTAGAGCCACACAGTATGGTTCCAGAATCAATACGCTTACCTACTACTCCATCCAGCCTAGCCTTTCCAGATGGAATATAAATTTAATAGGATGATGTGTGCCATGGAGTCAATAATGACTCACAGTGGCCCTACAGCATAGAACAGAACTGTAAATTTTTACAGAAGACTGCCAAGACTTTTCTCCTGTGGATCCTTTGGTAAGTTCGAACTGCTGACCTTTCAGTTAGCAGCCAAGCACTTACACTGTATAAACCAAACCAAATCCACTGCCATCGAGTTGGCTGCAAATCATACTGACCTTGTAGGACAGTACAGAACCGTCCCACAGCATTTCCAAGGCTGTATTATATTTATGGAAGCAGATTACCTCATCTTTCTCATACAGAATGGCTGGAAAGTTCGAACAGTCAACCTTCTGGTTAGCAGCTAAATAAATGTTTTAACCACTGCATTGCCAGAGCTCCTTTTACCCAGAATAAACATCAAAAAAAAAACACCTAAACTCACTGCTATCAAGTTGATTTGACTCATAGCAACCTCTCCTTGGGTTTCCAAGGCAGTACCTCTATGGAAGTAGATGGCCCAACCTTCCTTCTGAGGAGTGGCTGGTGGGTTTGAACCTCCAGCTTTCTGGTTAGCAGTCAGATGCCTTAGGCACTATGCCACCAGAGCTCCTTTTACCCAGAATACGCAGTCTTTATTTAACTAATGAAGGGCTTGACATTTTTCAATAGCCCAGTAACTACCATTGGTTCACATGAGGTTAACTGAAAAGCACTTCAGAGTAGCAGTACAAACACCTCATTTCACCGATGAGGCCTGTTCAGAGTTGCAGAGCTGGCTGCTGGCAGAGACAGAACTACAGTGGAATGAAGCTTCCATATATATATATACAATCCACATTCAGAAGGAGCTAAAAAGGTAGCTATTAGATAATGAAAAGTTCAATATTTCTAAGATGAGATTTAATAGGAAGAGTAAGATAGCTGGAAATTCATGGTAATTTGTCTTCTTTATCCCCTAACTATAAAATGGATTTTTCAATGCAATCCATGAAGACACTCTAATGCTACAAATTAAAAAATAGGTATCAGGAGGGCAGACTGCTATTTTTATTTAGGAAATACATTATGAGAAGGAATGTAAAGTATTACATTTATCTTTGCTATAGTGGAGTATCATATATTTTCCAGTTAAAATCTCCATTATCACTTCAATGGAAATATGAAATTATTGCCATTGAAAATAATTCGCTGGATTCAAGTCCAAATTCTGTATTTACTACTGTCTGATGCTGGGCAACATATTTAACCCATCAGAGTATCAATATTCTCCTATTTTTCCAATCTAGATATTATCTCTCTTAAAAAACTCACAGTGTTACTAGAGCAAATGAAATGATGTTATAATGTATTTTGGCAAGTGTAATATACCATATAAATAGAAAGTACCATTTTCATTTTATATACAAATATTAGTAATATTCCTAAACCTTTCCCAAGTTGATTAAAAGGAGGAAAAAAAGCTTACATTGAATTTGTTTTAATGCAAAATAAATATGAATTAAAGAGGGCTGATTATTAAAATAGTTAATCTATGTTACATGAAATAAGCTTTTGCAGAATACATAACAATGTTTATTACTGCTTAATATTACAAAAGATACAAGCTATATCCCCCCTTCATAATTTGCAAAAATAACTAACTTGACATCAACAACATCGTAGAGTTTCTTCAGGAAATCAGAGTCTAGGTGATTGTACTCGCTGGTCAGTGTATGAAAATATACTAACACATATTCCTTCACAGCAATGTGATCCATTACATGGATAAAATACAGAAGTGCCTAAAAGAAAAAGAGGAGGGAGGAAAGGTAAAGATTATTTGCTGGTAGTCTATTTCTCAGATGTCAAGAGAGAGGAAAAACCCAGAATGCTAATTTAATTTATGCCCCCATCATTGCTGATGGACATTTCAGAGTAATGGGTTATCAATTCTCTTTAAAAAGGGAATCATCCCACTGTTTACTAATTCTCATAACTGCCACAGTACAATTTCCTCTTGTCTTTTCTAAGCATTGGAGGAGATCAATCTCTATCCTCTGAAACAAATCTTCATGTACTTGAAAGAGTTTCTGAGTCAACTATCAGGTTACTCCTCTCTAGGCTAATATATCAAAATTGTTTTAAAAGTAGAATGTCTAGACTTTTAATCATTCTTGAAGTTTCTATCTGAATTCAATCAATGTCTTTGCAATATTTACTGAGACACAGTTGTATGGCTCTCATGAAACTAAGGATTACTATAAAAGAACAATGAATGATGCCTTACACAGCTTACTCTGAGAGCTTTTTTTCTTAGCATCTCTAACGCTGATTGGAATGAGAAAACTGAGAACAGTTTAGTCTGTAGAGGGCAGTGGGCTGGGCAGCATTTCTAGAGCTCTGAAAGAGTGAAAGTTAATGTGACCTAGATCAGTTAGAGAAATGTTCCATTACAAAAGGGATGACATTTAAGAGAAACACTAACAACAAAGCAGAGATACAACAGAGGTAGGGCCAGTATGACCAAGAAATTTAGCTATAAACAATTGCAAAGAGGCAGCGAAGCGGTAATAACTGAAGGATTACTGTAATAGAAGCCATTTTCCAATTCCTCCTCAGGTGAGTCCTTGGCATTAACTTGACTGGATTAACATGGATTAAGATCCAAACGATACCAAAACAGGCAGAAGGGGGGTTAACAAAACACATTATCTTTCCAGTTGTTAACCAGTTTATAGCTTACAATATATCTCATTGTTTCATTTTTTTGTACCTCATTATTATACATGAAATAATACATCATGAATATCCAGAACACCATGAAGTGTACATCAAAATTCAATGCAGAGATTTATGTGTTTACTGGTATCAACCATATTACTGATGATGAGAATAAACATCATATTGATTATTAAGAACATAAATCAAATGACCACATATAGAAACTTACCTAATGTGCATCTATTGGGTTTTTCCCTCTGTGTATATGAGTATTTTCATTCTTATTTCTGCTCTTAACAGATCATATCTGTCCTCTTTCTCGTAGTTCCTAAGGCATGTGACTGCTAACCAGAAGGCTGGCGGTTCAAACCCACCAGCCACTCCTCGAAGGAAGGTTGGACAATCTACCTCCTTAGTGATACTGCCTTGGAAACCCAAGGAGGGGTCGATACGAGTCAGATCCGACTTGACGGCAGTGAGTTTTTTTTTTTCCTACCTGCACCCCAGGGCAATTTAGATACCCCTTTTTGGTTTTAAATTCCCCATTTTTAACTTAAAAAATTTTCATTATAAAAAAGTATAGCCACACAGAGAAATATTTGGAAAACAAATTCTTCCCCAAACCGTTAAAAACATTTTGGGATATTCACTTCCTGTTTTTACTTTTGCAGAATTTTTTTTTAAAAATTAAAGTCATCATATATACAATTTAATATATCACTTTTACTCTTCTTGATATTATCTTACAAACACTTCAGTATTTGCCTCTATAAACAGACTTTTTAAAGACCACAGAACATTCCATTTGTAGATGTACCAGAATTATCTAATAGTAATTAAGTTATAATTTTTCGCTACAAATAATGCTGTGAACATGAAAGGCTGAGTGCTTTCATAAATTTTTTACCCAAACTTCAGTAACCCAAAGTCTGAGGACTTAACTAGAAGCAATTATTTGTGTTTGTATAACTGTATTTTATCTTAAAATAGTATAAAGTTTTAATTTTATAATACTTGAATATGATTTATAATTATTTATCAGTTGAAGTAATTCTCCTTTGCAGTTCTAGAGAACTGATGTTCTAGGACAGTCTCTATGTTCATCCTGTGGATTCAAATGTCCCCTGCAGGAGTATTTAAATTTGAGAAATTTCAGGGGCCATAGCTACCTCCACACTTTGGATTATTTCCTTGCTACAAATTCCCAGAATTTAATTACTGGGTAGTTTGTTATGATCATTTTTATAGTTTTGTCTTTGATGATAATAATTTAAAAATTCTTGCTAATTTTGAAGGTAAAAAGAGATACCTCATTTTAATTCACTTTTTTGACTACTAATGAGGTTGAACATCTTATTTTCATTTATCAGTTATAGCAATGACTTTTATGAATTACCTATTTCTGTCCTTTGACTGTAAGTGAGGTGATTATAAATTTATGCTATCTTGGGTTAACTAGATCTCTGGTCTCTTCCTTCTGGATATTCAGGAGGTAATTTTTTTTTTTTTTTTTTTGAGAAAGGCAGAATTTGATTGGCAATACAATCATAATACAGAATGGTTTCAACCAAAAACTTGCTAGTTACATAATAACTAAGACAAAACAGTTGCCTTTCTGAAGGCCACATTATGATATTCTGGTATTTTTGTTTCTCCTACAGAGCAAAATCAAACCCCTGACTTACTGAAATGATACATGCTGACTTGCCAAGCCAGGGTTGCTACTCCATCAGATACACAATTTTGTCTCATATGATATTCTAAACATCATTCCAAATTCACATTCTACTTATTTTTAAATCAACATCATTTGTGAAACAGAGACTTTTTAAGGCTTACCTTGTCCATATCTATTAACGTTACAGGAATGTTTCTTCCAACTACCACCATCACTGTGCGACCACAGTTATCAACACCTACAAACAGGAAATGTAATCAGCACCCAGAATCTTTACTTCAAGAATATTATTTGTCCTGGGCTCCAAACTTATAAACATATGCTACACAAATTTAAAAGATTGAAAACTGAGAAGTATAAGTTTATCAAGTTTCATTTAAAAAATTTTTTTTTTTGAGAAACAAGACTTTTTGTTTTAACCTCAGGTGGTTTTTGATCACTGCCCTTACTTTTAAGATAACATCTCTTAAAGGTTTAAAATTGAGGACAAAGAGGTTAGGTTGCAGACAAAAGTCTTTTAATAAGTAGCTTTTTTTTTTTTTTTTAATTCACTACAATCTGTAATAATATTCCAAAAAACCAAACCAAACTCACTGCTGTTGAGTAGGATCTGACTCATAGCAATTCCTCCTTGGGTTTCTGAGGTGTTATCACTACAGAAGTAGATCATACAATTTTCCTTCTGAGGAGTGGCTGGTGGGTTTGAACCGCCAGCCTTCTGGTTAGCAGTCAAGTGCCTTAGGCACTATGCCACCAGGGCTCCTAATAACGTTGTAGCTGTTGTTATAGGCCTCGAGTCAAACCCGAGTCATAGTGACTGCTCCTTGGGTTTCCGAGGCAGTATCACTAAGTAAGTAAATTGTCCAACGTTCCTTCCAAGGAGTGCCTGGTGGGTTTGAACAGCCAGCCTTCTGGTTAGCAGTCAAGTGCCTTAGGCATTATGCTACCAGAGCTCCTCCTAATAACATTAGTGATCAAAAAAAAAAAAAAAAAAGCAAATAAACAAAAAACCTAAATCACACTGAAATATGAAAATTAACATGCACTGTCTAAAACAGAAATATAATTGGAGAAGTGTGGGAAGCTGGGAACTTTCAAAGTCTGTATTTCTATATTACATATTTATTTAAGATTTGAATTCTGTATAGCAAGCAAACAGTACTTTTAAAAGCAGATTTTTTTTTTTTTTTAATAAGAAAAAGGGCACTAGATGCAAACTACATCTTTGTTATGGACTGAATTGTGTCCCCCAAAATATGGCTGTAAATCCTAAAGTCTGCTTCTGTAAAGATTTATAGTCCTCTGGGGCAGTTCTGCTCTATCCTATAGAATTGCTATGGGTCAGAATCAACTGGTTATGGGTGGTGTGTTGCAGAAGCCTGTGGTAATAATCTCATTTGGGAATGGTGCGTCTTTGTTATGTTAGTGAGACATGGTTAGTGTAGGGTGTTTCTTGAGTCTTTTGAGAGAAGCAGAGCCTGGGAAAGAGATGCCAAGCCACATGATGACCACCTAGGAGCAGAAGCTCAGAGAGACAAGGACCTTCCTCCAGAGCCAACAGAGAAAGCCTTCCCCTAGGGCTGGCAGCCTGAGTTTGGACTTCTGGCCTCCTAAACTGTGAGAAAATAAATGTCCATATGTTAAAGCCACCCATTTATGGTATTTCTGTTATAGCAGCACTGCATAACTAAGACAATGTTTAAAATTTTTTTATGTTTGATGTTGTTTTTAATATTTTGATAATGGGCAAAACCTAATTGCATTAGGAAAAAAAAACATTTTATGCATAGATAGAATGGAAGAAATCAGAGAAAAATGAAATCTCAAGTAGCACACTGGGTAGGGTTCTTAATTAGTAAAAGAATAAGTTACCACACACTTAAGCTCACCTGTTTGGTATAAGGCTTTTAGCGAAGCAATATCAGATAGATCCTCAGATCTTGCTTGACATAACCAGCGATTATAACTAGAGACATAAAGATATGGTTATTATAATAAATCCTTTGTAAATTAAATTTACAAATGGGACCGGTTCTTGTCTCTAAGAAAAATGATGTTTCTTGCTCATGAGGAAGGAGCAAGAGGGTATTATGCTGTAGCCTACTATGTGACAATGATGAAGTAAGCATAAATGAGTTATTGAGAAAGAAAGGCATTCATGCTGTATGATTTTTAAAAAATCCTGTATGATCAAATGAAGACTCCAATGATAGACAGCTAAGATACCCAGTATTCAAACTAATATTTATCTTAAACATTATTATTTCCCTTTACTAAAAAATGCAAATAAAGAAATAGCAAGTCTCTAAAACAGATGTTCATTCACTCATTCAACAAAAATTTATTGTGTGCTTACTATATTACAAGTATTGAGAATACTGTGGTGAAAATATACAGTCAGTGCCCTCAAGAAAGTGTACTTTTCAAGAGTAAAATAGGTTAAGTGTTGTACATGCAGAGTGGGCTCACAAAGGGGCCATGTAATTTTATCCGGGAAGTTGAGGCATATTTAATGATTGGTTGGTCAAACTTGTTGTACTGAATATCCCATGTGAGATCATACGACTACAGTTTGGCTCTGGGTAAGAGAATGTTAAAAGCTAGAACAGATGTCAAAGATCTCAAAGAGGGGAAATGATTTGTGAAAGGTAACTCAGCAAATTAATGGTTCACGTTGACTTTGAAGTTACAGTCAGGTCTCCAGATTTCTTGAAAGGTCAGTACTCTTTCTGCTACATCATACTACTTTCTTAAAATTCAAAGTGTCACACACTATGCTGTGAAAAAAGCTTACAAAATATCTAAACGTATAAAAAATAACTTTGAAGTGACTAGGAAATAGAGGGCAACATCTCATACCAAAAAAACAAACAAACAAACAAACAAACAAAAAAACTAGGAAAGGAAAGACTTGGGTTCTAATCTTAATCTTTTATTTGTGACCTAAGAACAGTTGTTTCACTTCGGTGGGCCTCAGTTTTCTTATCTGCAAAATGGTGTTAGTGTAGGACACTTTTCAATTATAAAATGTAGTCACATAACTGATGGTACTTAATGGAAAGTCTATCACATATGGGTTATAATCAACAAGTGAAAGGCCTCCCAATTTCTTAAAACTTTTTATAGCTTCTGAAACCAACCAATCAACCAAGCAAACAAAAAAAAAAACCACTTGAAATTGCATTAGTTCTATAAATTGTCTTCTTAAACCTGGTAACTTGCCCATTCATGCAACTTGAAAACTCCAAAGACAATCGTTGTTGTTGTTGTTATATGCTGTTGAGTTGGACCCAACTCATAGCGACCCCTCCTTGGGTTTCCGAGGCAGTATCACTATAGAAAGTAGATTGCCCCATCTTCCTTCCGAGGAGTGGCTGGTGGGTTTGAACCGCCAGCCTTCTGGTTAGCAGTCAAGTGCCTTAGGCACTTTGCTGCCAGAGCTCCTCCAAAGACAATAGTTTTTAATTTTAGTTTAAAACATAAATTGAAGTCAAGAAAAGATCTTATCGTAGTTCTCCCTAGTTCATATACACAATCCCATGGAGTAATTTCCTAGGTTAAACATTAAGCACAGTGTTTTCTAATTTAGTCTCTCTCCAACAAGGCTAATAAGCAGAATAACATATCTTAAGTGTCTTATGAGTAGCACAGTTTCCAGCACAAAGCATGTGACAGAATTCAGTAAATACTTATTAATATCCATATTCGACTCATAAGATTAAGGAGCTCTGGTGGTGCAGTGCCTAAAGCATTTGACTGCTAACCAGAAGGTTGGCAGTTTAAACCCAGCAGCTGCTCCACAGAAGGAATATGGAGCAATCTACTTCCATAAAGATTTATCGCCTTGGTAACCCAACAGGAATTGCCATGAGTCAGAATAGACTTGATGGGTGTGAGTGATTAAGTATTCATAAGATTGAGCAGCCCTGGTGGCCGATGGTTAAAGTACTGGCTGCTAACCAAAAGGTCGGTGGTTTGAACTTACCAGCCCATTCTGTGGAAGAAAGATGAGGTAGACTGATTCCATAAAGATTTAGAATCTTGGAAACCCTATGAGGCAGTTCTACTCTGACTTACAGAATCACTATGAGTTGGAATTGACTCAATGGCCGTTGGTGTTTTTTGTTTTATTCGTAAGATTATTTTTCACAGGTTTATTGCATAAATGGGGAGCTCAGGTAGCATAGTGGCTAAGGTACTTGACTGTTAACCAGAAGGCTGGAGGTTCAAACCCACCAGCCACTCCTCGGAAGGAAGATGGGGCAATCTACTTCAGTAGTGATACTGTCTCGGAAACCCAAGGAGGGGTCGCTGTGAGTCGGGTCCGACTTGATGGCATGTAACAACAACAACAACATTGCATAAATGCAAGGCCTGGATCATAGTTGTGACTCTAATCTTTGTTGAATGAACTAATAAACATAAAAGAATATTTATTACACAAAGGTATTTTTGGGGCCTGGGATGAAAAACAGAAGGCCCTTGCCTCCAGAGAGTTTAAAAGTGAATATATGAGACAGACATAAAGACAATTTTGTCATAAGATAGAAAGACAAGCAACTGGACAGAAGTCTAAGTATTCTATAATCAAGTACGTCTGCTGGGAAGAGGGCTAGGAAAGGAAAGATGAGAGGGATGGCATAGATACAAGTCCCAGACATGTGGAAACAAATGTTCAATTCTTTGTACCCTAAAGATTTCTATCATGGTGAGTATAATGCTTTACCCGCTTACAGTAATGTCTGCTTCTATTCTATCAGATTACAGATAGGGACCATATGTATTACTTGTCTATATTTTCAGGTAGTTCCTAACACTCAATAATTATGTGTTGAATGAATACTGAATAATTTTTTTTTCAAAAAACAAAAAACCTTTGATTTAGGTACACAAAATAAAATCAATCATGGTTCAACACACTCTCATGCATGGCCCACTTTAATTGGTTGTCTGCATGGCCCACTTTAATTGGTTGCCTAACTAGTTATTTTTAATGAAACAATAAGTACCCAAAACCCATCACCCAAAAGAAGTTAACACATCACAATAACCTACATCTAATAACATGATCATCCTCCTCTAAATCTAACTTTTACCCTGCTTCTCCCAAGTCATTCAGAATTCCAGGGTCATTTTCTTGCTATTTCTTTTTTTAATATAGTATTTTAATTCATCTCTATAAGTCCTAAAAAGTATTTTTTGGTTTTTAAGTATCAGGGGGGAGAAAAGAAAAGCTTATCATGACATATATAGTCTTTTTTTTTTTCCTTTTTATTGTTATTTGGGTGAAAATTTACAGAACAAATACACTTTCCATACAGCAGTTCACATACACTTTGTCTCATGACACTGACCACAATTTACCACAATGCAACAGCTCCCCTCCCACTTCCTCCTGATAGTTACCTCTACCCTGTGTCCACCCCTCCATGCACTCCTGCCCCCTGATCTGTCTCCCTGTGCATAAACAGCCCTTCTTTCTCTCATGCTTGTTCTCTCCAAGGAGTGTATCTACCTCAGGTAAATGTTCAAATCATATGCCTGTCTATTGTTTGGCTGGAAGCCACAGGCATGCATTCAATTCCAGCCCTGAAGGGCAGCTAAGGGCCATAGTCTCAGTGGTTCCACCAGGCTCTATCAGGCCAGCAAACCTGGTCCTTCCCTTTTTTTTTTCAAATGATTTTGAGTTTTGTTCCACATTGTTCTCCCTGTCTATCCAGGATCTCCTACATAGATCCTCTTCCACGTGGTTGACAGTGGTAGCTGGGCACCATCTAGTTCTTCTGGTCTCACAGTCATATAGGCTGCAGATCGGATGGTGTACCAGTTGCTAGGACTAACTGTTTCCATGAATTTTTGGTTTTCTTCATTCTTCTTGGCTCTGGACGAGGAGAGACCCATCGTTGCATCTAGATGGCAGCTTGCAAGCTTTCAAGATCCCAGTTGCTACTCACCACAGTAGGAGGTGGAACAATGTTTTGTGTAGTATGTTATGCTAATTGAACGTGATATCCTCTGAGACTATGGTCCCGAGCCCACAGGTTCAACTACTCGGTCCCTCTGGGTAGCTGGCTGTGACCAAGCAGTGACTACAACTTGCCTCTTGTCAGCTCCATTATACACCTGGGAATTCAGATCATATACATAAAGTTATAGGACCACTGTCTGCTAACCCTATACATGTTCTTGGGTGCACTCCCCACTTCATAGATATACCTAATATTTCAGCCTGTCCACCCATCCATTCACCCGTATACCCGTGTTTGCCTTCACTGACCATGCCGTACTGTATGTGCAAAAGGGTTCAGTTCATCTTTGTTGTCTATACTTCCCACGTACCTCTCTATGTCTTTCTCTTCCTCAATGCCACTATATTGATCACTCACATTTGGTACATTGCCCTTCTCTTCACCCAAATCAAAACTTATCACTATCTATCTAACAATATTCTCTTCCCTCCCCTCCCACCACTGGTAACCAACCAAGAAAATGTCCTTCCATGGATAAGCGTTTCCTTGACTTTTACAATAATGGACTAATACAGTATTTGTCCTTTTGTAATTGACTTATTTCACATAGCATAATGTCCTCCAAGTTCATCCACATTTGTGGTGTTTTGCAGATTCTACATTATTCTTTAGGGTTGCATAATATTCCATTGTTTGTATGTACCAGTTTGGATATCCATTCCTCAGCTGATGGACACTTAGGTTGTTTCCATCCTTTGGCTATTGTAAATAGTGCCGCAATGAACATGGGTGTGCATATGTCTGTCCTTGTCATGGCTCTCACTTCTTTAAGATATATACCTAGTAATGGCATAGCTGGGTCAAATGGTATTTCTAGTTTCAACTTTTGAAGGAATCGCCATACTGCTTTCTACAATGGTTGTACCATTTTACAGTCCCACCAGCAGTATATGAGAGTCCCAATCTCTCCACATTCTCACCAGCATTTCTTGTTTTC